TAAAAAAAACCACATTATTTTCCACATACTGTACGTTATTGTTTCTCCTCTATGCCCCGCCTTTCTGAAACGCGTCGATTTTTACAAAGCTCATCTGTCTGAAAAAGCGAGGTGTGCTGTGATTGGTCAGCTATTCAGTGCGTTGTGATTGGCCGAATACTTCAAGCGTGTTACGGAAATGTTATGGCTCTTACCACCTTGTGATGCCGTGTCCGGCCGGAGCGACAAGACAAAAACATTAAAACCCATTATAAACGAGGCATTTGTTGCATCCAGTGGGGACATAATTACTGATTATAATGACTTTTTACGCGTTGCGTTGCATCGTTGACTGCATTTGTGATCGGAGAAATGACAAACAGATCCAGAAAGCAGATCCGGCGATCGACAGCGAAGTTGATGTATTTCCTCAGCGACCAGCACAGATCAGCTCCAGGCATGACGAAGCAGATATCGTCCTCTTTTGGAAGACCAAACAAAGTAGTTTCGCTTTGGAGGCAGCAACAATACTACAGCGAGAATAAAAGTTAGGCCTTCTTTCTTTGCGTGAACATTTGGGCGGCGTTATGCAAATCTTCCCACATCGTGACGTAGACATGTGGGGGCGTGTTAGAACGAGCCGTTTTAGGTAGGCGTGGTTGACTCAACTTTTATAAAGAATATCTCTTTGGATTTGAGACTTTAGTCTTTGCAACTTTACAGATCTTCTTTATGCACCAAGAGCTTGTAACACTCCAAAGAGAAAGGAAAAATTGAAATCACATCATATGACCCCTTTAACGTTACACAGTTTACTCCTGCGATACAGTGAATGGGGTCTGTTGAGCGCCAAAAATGACAGGGCTGTTCAAGTCAAGGTTAATTATTAATCATTTTAATTCTGTGAGAATTGGGAAGCTCACGCCAAAAATTGAACGTTGACGATTCAGAGGAATGATGTCGTTCGAATCACTTTCAGAAAGATTTTTTCCCCCATCTGAAAAACGATTAAATAACGTTGACAGCCAATCAAAATCTAACAGACTTTAACGAGCGCGAACATTTAAAGCAGTAGGCGACAACTTAAGCGGATAGTTCACCCAAAAATGAAAATTCTGTCATTAATTTCTCACCCTTGTGTTGTTCCAAACCTATAAGACCTTCGTTCATTTTCGGAACACAAATTAAGATATTTTTGATGAAATCCGAGAGCTTTCTGACCCTGCGTAGACAGCAACGCAACTGAAATGTTCCCAGGTCCAGAAACGTAAACAGTCTATGTGACATCAGTGGTTTGACCGCAATTTTACGAAGCTACGAGAATACTTTTGGGCACAAAGAAAACTAAAATAACTACTTTATTCAACAATTCTTCTCCTCTGCCTCCATTATGGAGAGTACCACGACACATTCGTGTGCTTTCCTCTGCATGTAAACAAATTGCAGCGCATGCGTGTTCTATGTGCAGAGGTACTCTCGATAGTGGCAGAAGACGTGATTTGGAGAAGAATTGTTGAATAAAGTCGTTATTTTTGTTTTCTTTGTGCACAAAAAGTATTGTCATAGTTTCATGAAATTACAGTTGAACCATTGATATCACATGGACCGTTAACGTTTCTGGGCCTAGGAACATTTCAGTTGCGTTGCTGTCTATGCAGGGTCAGAAAGCTCTCGGATTTCATCAAAAATATCTTAATTTGTGTTCAGAAGATGAATGAAGGTCTTGCGGGTTTGGAACGACTTGAGGGTGAGTAATGACAGAATTTTTATTTTTGGGGGAACTATCCCTTTAAGTGCGTGCTTATAATAAACAGAACATTATCGTTCTTGGAGTGAACAGGCCTTAAGAGGCCACTCACAGAAATGAACGCATTCTGTGTGAACGGCCCATTAAACTATAATAAACGTTGTCCATAGGATTTTTGAAAGCTTCAAAGCTTACTTACATTTGCGAACTTTTAAATATGGATTAAGATGCATCACATAAAGTGAAATGAACAAGTACTGCAAACATTTATAACCTACCTTAAAGGTGTTTTCTGTTGTTTCTCGAGCATGACAGTCCCAGTCCCCATTTGCTTTCACTTTTTAGAGCAGCCAGGACATTCTGCAAAACATCTCCTTTTGCATTACTTAAGCATTTAAAAAAAAAAATCCATGGCTTTAAACAACACAAGTATGAGTGAATGATGACAGAATCTCCATTTTTAGATCACCTTTCCTTTTTAATTATTACATTAGACATTATCATATCCTTCACCGCAGACACATTAACAAATTAATGCAGCTTTTAAAAAATAGACCCATCGTCAGAACATCAGTACATACATTAATACATTAGCAGTGATTGTCTTCAGTATGCAGAGACCGTAATGAACCTGATCTGTACATGCTGGAGTGAACGAGGATGATGAAGGCTAATTGGGTTCAGACAGCATCCTAAAAGACGACCGCACGCCGAATAAAGAGATTGTCATGGAAACGAGGCAGCTTTATGTCTGGCTCGTTAAAAAAACAACCAAACAAACAAACAGTTGATAGAATGACTGACTGTTGCACACACACATTCTGAGATCTTCTCTACACAAACAACAAGGGGTTTGGACTGTGTCAGTCAGGGGTTAAAGTTGATGCCCTATGACTCTGAAACAGACAAGCAGGGAAGAAAAAAAAAAAAGAAGAGGCGACAGCTTCCCTAAAAACATGCTGATCTCAGCATATGAATGACCACATCTCCAATAACACAACATCACACATTATCACCCGGATACAAAACCTCTCATTCCATCTTATCAAACCAAACAGACCCAAAACACACACAGGCACACATGGACTCCGTCCTCCACCCGAAACACCCGCACAATGAGCCCCGCTTCATTTCCTCTCACGAAGCATCGGGGTGTGGATAATCCACGATTATGGGATATTATCTGCATCTCCTCCATCTAACACACACTTGAACATCTTCGCTGGAGTGCTGAGATTATTCCCATATCACGGCCGTGCAGTGGCATTATCCTAATCTGGGAATACTGGAGGACACAGATTACTGTAAAGACTGCAGATTAACAGCACGTATATGTGAAAGAGAGGTTAGGCTGAGCCATGTCAGATAGGAGGAGATGGAAGACAAAACTGGGTTCAAATAAAAAGAACTATTTCGCTTTTGTAGTGCTAGGTACATGCATGAAACTGTCAGAGGGAATGAATGACCGTATGTAATCCTGTTCTCTGATAACCGTTATTTTATTTATTTATGTTATATATATGCACAAAACATTGCATGGGGAAATGTCATATTTGACAAAAGAATTATATATATATATATTAGTGCTGTCAAACGATTAATCGCATCCAAAATAAAAGTTTTTGTTTACATAATATATGTGTGTACTGTGTTTATTATGTATATATAAATACACACACATTCAGTATATATTTTGAAAATATTTACATGTATATATTTATATTATTATATATAAATATATTTTATAAACAAAATTTTTCTTAAATATATACATGCATGTGTGTGTCTTTTTTATATACATAAATATACATAGTACACACACATATTATGTAAACAAAAACTTTTATTTTGGATGCGATTAATCGTTTGACAGCACTAATATATATATATATATATAAAATCCACTTATTCTTAATATTTATTTTTATTATATATTTATATATACATATATAATTTATATAAACATTGAGAATGTGTGTATTTTTAATTGTCATTAAAAAATCTCAATGCAAAAATATCTTAATGGTCCTAAAATATTTAACAAAAATTTCTAATCTCGTTCTTTTTGGGGGCTAAATAAATGTGATCATGTTGTTGATGGGTTTTGTGAGATTTCCCCTTTAGTGTTTGACTGATGTTTATTTTTGCATGAGGTGAGACAAGTTTGATCTCACTCGAAACATTCAGACGTCTCTCCTTACAAAAGACAAATTGGGGAATGTTTTGATGGTCTGGAGTGCAGAGTAATGAAGTGCAGCAATGCAAAAGGTGCTTAATTGCATGTGTGTGTGTAGTGTTTCGTTGTGTTTCCCTCTGCAGCTCCTTTATATCTGTCACGATTCATTTCTATTCTCATGATTTCAGAAGTGTGAAGAGTTTTCCAGCAGACAGTCACGTCACTCGGCGCGTTTCTTCACTCTCTGATGGCCCGTTTTTTCCTGACCGACTCCAGCTGTGAGAGAGAGACGATGAAAAAGACGACAGTGAGTTCACATGGAGATGCGACTGAAGCAGACACGGCAGGCTTTATTATTCACCTCGTTCTCCACCATCTTTAGTCGGCCGAGGGCGTCTTTTGCTGCATCCTGAGAAACCAGAACAGCTCTTTAGCTTTAATCTAAATGACTGATTTAAAAATGTCGAAATGACTTCACAAAAGTGACATCCAGCTTCTGCTGTGTTTGTTTTTGATGAAACATCTGCGCAAATGCATGAGTGTTTCATGTCAACATGAAGTGACATTCGGAACCCATTTTACTTCAGTAATGTCAAGCATATCTGAGTGAAATGAGAACAAAAATAGACAGCTCACAGCTTATCAATGCGTTTGCGCAGAACAGCTAACGTCGGAGTGTGTGTGTGTGTGGTTTGCTCACCCTGTTGCCTTGGCTGGAAAACATTTTGACTGAATCTGACAGACCGTGAACAAACTTCCGCAGCACATTTTCATATTCTGAGACAGACAGAGAGATATAGTACATTAATGATGGTCTGTTTTGCTCTTGAATGTTTTTAATATGTAGCACTGGAAAGTCCAATTCATTGAAGTGAATCAGTTTATTTAGAAGGTTCATTTAAATGAAATATTTAAAAAGGATTCACAGATTAATTTGAATCATCAATCAGTATTTTTCCCAGCATTTTATGTTCTCATTCGTAACAAAATAAACATCTAGTAAAATAGGGCAGTTTATGGTTAGAGTCGGGGGAGGGGGGGGCTAATGGTTAGAGAGTCGGACTCGTAACCCAAAGGTTGCGGGTTCGAGTCTCGTACCGGTAGGGATTGTAGGTGGGGGGAGTGAATGTACAGCGCTCTCTCCCACCTTCAATACCACGACTGAGGTGCCCTTGAGCAAGGCACCGAACCCCCAACTGCTCCCCGGGCGCCGCAGCATAAATGGCTGCCCACTGCTCCGGATGTGTGTTAACGGTGTTCACTGCTGTGTGTGTGTGCACTTTGGATGGGATAAATGCAGAGCACTAATTCCGAGTATGGGTCACCATACTTGGCCACATGTCACGTCACAGAACACTGAAGTTAGGTTTTTGGGTGTTTTTCTCTTTTACTGTATCAAAAGTTCGGGATGTTTTAATGTTTCTGAAAGAAGTCTCTTCTGTTCAACAAGTCTGCATTCGTTTGATACAGTAAAAACAGTAATATTATGACCCTGCGATAATTGATAATTAATGATAATTATTATTATGACATAATTTGCAGCTTAATTAAGAGTTTTCTAATTGCATGTGGCACCTGTCAGTGCTGCCGGGTGTTTCTCCAGGTATGATTTCTGCCACTGCAGTCGCTGACAGACGTCCATGTGCTGCTTGATCAGCTCTGATGGCTCTCGTCTGTTCTTCTTATAATCGTTGATCTAAAGAGACGCACAAAATGACTCCCGATACACTCTATATCCAGTCAACAGCTCAATCCTATCACTGACACACACCTTCCACTCCAGTCTCTCTTTGTCGTGCTGAAGCAGACTGAAGCTGTGCAGCTTATACTGCGGAGGAGACGAGCTGAAACCAACCAGAGACACGTGTTAAACACACTCACCGAGCGACAGGAAATCAGTGCCGTACGATCAGCTTTCGTGTTACCTTGGTTTAGAGTTCCTGTCGTGATCGTTCCCGGGTTTGGATCTTGGAGGAGGAGCCTGCTGGAAATAAAATGCTTTATGTGGTTTCTGTCCAACTGTGTTTGTATGCAAGAACACATCCTGTGTGTGATATAAACAGCACTAATTGGCGTCTCATACCCGTTCCTTTTCCCTGCTTTTCTCCCGGTCTCTGTCTTTCTCCCGCTCTCGGTCCTTCTCCGGTGAAGGTGTGAGCGGGTCGATGACGAGCCACTTCTCCGTCACCGGCTGCAGCTGAACTCCAGACAGCGGCTCGCGGATCTTCACTCGCACCTCCAGCTTGCCTCCCGTCGCCTTGCGTCCGTCCAACACCTGCAACAGCAGCACAGCCTCATGGGACACCAGCGCTCCTGTGCATGTGACACGTGTGTGTGAGTTTGTGTGAATCACTCACATCAATGATCTCTCTGATCTCACACTGGTTCTCAAGAGCTTCCAGCTTCAGCTGAGCACTTCCCACCACTTTATCTGTCTTGAAGAGACCGCTGCGGACACACACACACACACACGATTATTAGACTCACTGCTAATGATAGTGACACCACATTTCAACCCTGTATGAAAAGTGAAAAACTATTTTGCCTAAAGAAAACTAGGCTTATTTTTAGGACTATTAATTTAAACCAATTACATGACAATTAAAATAAAAAAAAATATTATTAATTATTTAAATTGTAGTAAAACCTTTATGCTGATTTCTTTTAAATTCCTTTAAAAAAAATTATTAAAAAATGTAACGTAAAAAAAAATGACAGCATTGAGAATCATCATTGAAAATAATGTGACTGCAACAAAAAGCTAAAAACAAACAAACAACGCAGATACATAACAGTAATGAGAATTTGTGGAGAAAATCTGCTTAATTATCACTGTCAAAACTATGTATGTTAATTTTCGCCAAAAAAGTAGCAATTAATTGATCAAAAGAGCAATTTTTGCGATGCAAACTCAGAACATCTGAACTGTGAGATGTAAAGTGAGAATTCATAGCAAAATTCAAAATCGTGAGATATAAAGTCACAATTCCCTGTTTAAGTTTTATTCTGTGGAGGTAAGAAGCTTCCATGAAAAACATTAATGATCCAAAAAATAATCTTATGAAAAATATTACTAATGTAATTTCTTTTGGGGTGGAATGCGATCTGGACGTGTTATTGTCAGATTCACTATTAGTGTTGATTAATAGGAGTCTCACCCTTTGTGTACGACCTCAAACTTGATGCCTTTGGCCTGTACCACTCTCTTAAAGCCTCTGTGATCTCGCTTGATGTTCAGCTTGAACTGCTCCTTAAACTCTGAAAACACAGACTGTCAGCTAATGCCGCCACCTGTTTAACACACAGCCTGCACGCGTGTGTGTGTGTGTGTATGTACCTGGACAGTTGGTGTTTCTCACAGTGCTGGTTTTGTCTCTCTGAGCTTCTTCCTAAGAAACAAACACACCCTGTTAGATGCCAATAGCATGTGTGTGTGCGTGTGCGTGTGTGAGAAAGTGTTGCGTACCGCGCTGGGGAACGGGAACTCAAAGCGCACACTCGCATCCAGATCGTTGGCTGAAACTCCTGGAGAAAACAAAGAAAATAACATTTGCAGCCAATCTGTGACAGAATCTCATTATTTTTATTTTATATAGACACTAATGTTCAAAAGGTTGGGGTCAGTAAAATTTTTTTTGAAAGAAATGAATAAAAAAAAAAAATCCCCCAAACTTTTCAATGGTAGTGTATTTCAGAGACCATGTGTTTACAGCATTATGACACACAAGCAGCACACAGGCACACGTTCACATACACACCTGGAGGAGCGGGCAGGTTGATTCCTTTCACAACGGTCAGCACCATGTCATTGGACATCAGGGTAGGAAAGATCCTAAACACAGACATGAAGACATTTAGAGAATCTGCAGGACGACTGTGCTGACAGATGTGTTGTGTGTGTGTGTGTTTTCAAGTGTTCTCACTTGACGGTGTTGAAGGTGCGCTCCTCTGTGTGGAATTTGGGAACCGATCTTCCTTTAGCGTGAGCTTTCTTCAGCACTTCAATATTACTCATGCATTCCTCAGCCAGCTTCTCAAACCTACACACACACACACAGACACACACACACACAGACACACACACACACACACACACACACACACAGATACAGATACAGACACACACACACAGACACACATACACACACACACACAGACACACGCACACAGAGACACACAAGAGACACACACACACAGACACACACATATTTTCTGTCGTGGGGGCTTTCCATTTACTTGTAATATTTTTGTACTGAGCTCAGCAGCAATCCTTAAACCAACTCCTTTAGCATTTTTTCTTTTTTATTTACTATGTTTATTAATCTGTTTTCCTCATGAGGACTGTTTGCTGCTCCCACAATGTTCATCTCAGGTTTTACTATCCATGTGGGGGCATTCAGTCTCCACAATGTAGGCAAAATCTAACGACACACAAACAAATACACTTTAAGGCTAAATTATATTTTAATTTAATATTTATGTTAGTATTTATGGTTAGATTCTGATAATTATTACATATATTAATTAATATTTTTTTTATTTTATTTATACTTATACCATTAATATGTAAAAAAAAAAAATTTTTTTATAAATATTAAATAAGTAAAAAAAAGCAAAAGCAGTACTTAAAAAAACAATTTATAAAAAATACGATTTTTAAAAAATTGCATTTTTAATGCTTGTTTAGGCAGATATGATCAAATGTGTCTGTTTTTGATTCATACACTACCATTCAAAGGTTTGGGGCTGTTAGGATTTTTTAATGATTTCGAAAGAAGTCTCTTCTGCTCACCAAGGCTGCATTTATTTGATCAAAAATACAGTAAAACTGTAATATTGTGAAATATTGCAATTTAAAATAACTGTTTTCTATGTGAATATATGTTAAAATGTAATGTATTCCTGTGATCAAAGCTGGATTTTCTGCATCATTACTCCAGTCTTCAGTGTCACTTGATCTTCAGAAATCAGTATAATATGATGATCTGCTGCTCAAGAAACATTTGTGATTATTATCAATGTTGAAAACAGTTTTATACATTTTCCTTAAGGATTCCTTGAAGAATAGAAAGTTCAAAAGAACAGCATTTATTAGAAATAGAAATCTTCGATAACATTATAAATGTAATTACTGTCACTTTTGATCAATTCAATGCATCCTTGCTGAAAAAAAACGATTCATTTCTTTTAAAAAATGCTCAAACTTTTGAACAGTAGTGTACACTCATCACTCAAAACAAACACCTGGAAATTCTTCTTACCTGATGATGTTTCTTTCTAAATATAATAAATGAAAACACACCTGGCAGTTTCTGCTACATTCCCCATATGAGTGAACTGCTGCGAGTACGCCAGGCATTTCTGGAAACAAGTGTTAGAGAGTCATGTAGACTGTAAATAAAGCATGCGTTTCTCTTGAATTCAGTGTGTGCTTCACATGGATCAGATCTGTGTTTAGCCGCTTGTGTGTGTGTAATAACCTCGTGCTGCTGTTTGAGCTGTGCCATCAGTTGAGTGTACTGCTCAGATGCGCGCGGAGAGAGAGCGGACGAGCGTGAATGAGACAGTCTGTAGTTGTCCTCACTGACCGGAGCGGCCGGCACCTGCACACCAGAGCATACATAAAACACACTAACACACTGAGATCTGTGTCAAACACATCTGATCACTTTCACACATACAGATGCAAAGCTGTCCACAAATGCCATTATACGCAAACACACACCTGATGTGCATTATTTATTCATCATTTTGTAGAAGGGGGGTTTAAAAATCGTATACGTTTCATAGAAAAGGTACATCGCCATCTTGCTCCAACCAAAGTGACCTGAACGCATCTGACATCTTAATTAGGACTTCCTAACTCATAAATACAAACTTCCTAGAAGCGCTAATTCAACTTTACTCTTTCAGTCAATGACTTTGGCCCTCCAGAACCAATTCTGATGAAATTTCGGTGCATCACTGATTCACAAACCTTGGTGATGTCCACAGGAAGTCCGGCCTTGGCGGCAGTGATCATGGCATCGAGGCCTTTAGCGTTTCTCAGGTGCTGAGCGGCTCCCTGCATGTCCTTCATCTCTTTAGAGCGCAGCGCGGCCTTCACAAACTGCTGCCTGCGCATGGTCAGGAAATCCAGCTGCTGCTGGGCTGCACAACAACACACACGTCACACAGCAGTGCCAGTACAATGTACCTGTTAATGCCGATATATAAACACGCACCTACCTTTCCCTCCTAGTTTGGGGGTGTTAGTGGAGCCGGCGGACGAGGCTTTCGGAGGAGCGGGAGCTCTGGATTTCTGAACTGCAGGCTGAGCTGATGGCTACACAGACACAGAGAGAGACGAAGAATCAGGCCCAAGCACAGTTTCTAGAGGTTCTGCTGAACTTTGTCTTTGACGCTACCTTCTGTGGTTCTTCGTCTGCATCGGCATCTGCGTCCTGATTGGCCAGCTTCATGGCTGTCTCCAGGACGCCCATAAAATTCTGCTCGCCGCCTTCAGTGCCCTGCAGCGGAGGACAACCTGACATGCACAAACATTAACATGGTCAAAACTGAGGTGCATAAACTATATACTATGAGATTGTAAATTCACAATTCTAAGAAAAAAAAGTCAGAATGGTGAGATAAAGAGTCACAATTACCTTTTTCTTTTAATACATGGCAAAAACAAAAAGAGAATTACGAGAAGTAAACTCTAAATTGCAAAACAGTGATTTTTTTGTTATTCTTATAAATTTGTAGATCTTGTAATTATGACTTTTTTTCTCAGAACGGCAAGAAAACACGTCTGAATTGTAAAATTAAAAAGTTACAATTAAATTTATTCTGTGCAGAAACAATAACTACACTGTATCTGTTTTACATATTATAATTAATTACATAATTATAAATGCACACTGCCGTTTGGTATCAGAATATTTTTTATTTTAAAAGAAAAAAATATATAATATAATATAATATATATTTATATGTAATATAATAATTACAAAAGATTTCCGTTTCAAATAAATGCTGTTCTTTTGGACTTTCTATTTGTCAAAAATCCTGAAAAAAAAAAAAAAAAAAACCTTTTCCCACAAAAATCTGAAGCAGCACAACTGTTTTCAACATTGATGATAATCAGGAATGTTTCTTGAGCAGCAAATCAGCATATTATACTGATTTCTGAAGATCATGTGACACTGAAGACTGGAGTAATGATGCTGAAAATTCAGCTTTGATCACAGCAATAAATGATATTTTAACATATATTCACATAGAAAACAGTTCTTTTAAGTTGTAATAGTATTTCACAATATTACTGTTTTTACTGTATTTTTTTAACACACAAATACAGTCTTGGTGAGCAGAAGAGACTTTCATAAACACTAAAAAGAATCTTACTGATCCCAAACTTTGAACAGCAGTGTGTATAATTAAATTAATTATTGAATTATAAATATATAAATAATCAGCACACCACGCTGTAACATTTACAAACACCTCCTGATATATTTAGATCTTAATGAACACATTATATGGTACATTTCTTAACCTTTTTCACTGGTGAGGCACATTCAAGACATTTTACTATATTTGTCAGAAGTTTGGCTTTCGCTAGACACAAGTAAACAAGTGTTACCTGGTGGAACAGGAAGTTCTGCCAAATTCACAGGCCGTCCTGCTTTATGAGATTTAATGGCGTCTTGATATTGCTGAGGTCAAGAACGAACGAACACACACACACACACACACACACGAGAGATTAAAGAAACAGCACCGGTTCTTATTTAAGTGAGTCTTCACGTGTGTTACCTTGACTATGCGCTGGTGCATGCGTGCTTTGCGGTCGTCTCCTTTGCTCTTGGCGCTCTCTGCGGCTTCTCTGTATTTGTCCATGCGTTGCTGTAAGGCCTCGGCGACGCTCCGAGGAGCAGAGAGAGCTGAAACACACACACATATAACTGATGTCTGTGTTTGATGCGTGTGAGTGGGACGTCACATTAACACACACACACACATTCTCACCTGTGTCTGGGGCAGCAGTGGAGGCAGCAGGAGGGGCGGCTGCTTTAGAGGACAGCTGAGGAGGGTTAGAGCGTGGCACTTCAACCTCTCCTGAAAGACAGACACTTCAGATCAAAACCAGACTGAACTGAGCAGAATGTAACTGAGGTGAGTGGAGATCGGTGAGGTAAATCTGTACCAGGAGGGGGCGGCAGTGAGCTGATGTCCACAAACTCGCGTCTGTCAACACTCTCCACCACTGAGTCTAATCCCTGTGAGGAAAGGAGAGACGGAGAGCAAGCGAAAGTTCATTTTCACAGTTGTTAATTGTTGGATAACCTAGTGCTGTGCAGCCAGATAAATCTACAATCCACAATAACACACCTACACTTCTGTTCAAACGTTTGGGGTGAGTATGTGTTTTAATTTTTCTGGTTTCTTTTTGAATATACAGTATTTTTAAAATGTAATTTATTTCTGTGATCAAAGCTGAATTTTCAGCAGCATTACTCCAGTCTTCAGTGTCACATGATCTTCAGAAATCAGTCTAATATGCTGATTTGCTGCTCAAGAAATGTTTATTATTATTATCATTGTTGAAATCAGTTGAGGTGCTTCATATTTCTGTGTTTTTAATTCAGGTTTATTTGATAACCATAAAGTTAAAAATAACAGCAGAATTTTTTTGTAACATTAGAAATGTCTTTACCTGTGTTATTTTAGTATCATCGAGTTTATTTGTAATATTTTGAATTCGTTTTTATTTTTATATTTTCCATTTTCATTTTTAATTTTGTTAAAGTTTTAGTAATTTTGTTTGTTTTTATTAGTTTTTTTTATCAGTTATTTCTTTAAATATGTCTCTATAGTTTTTATTTATTTTTATTTAAGTTTAAGTATATCAAGATAAACTAAATGAAAATGAGAAATCTTGCCTAGGCAACTAGCTGAAGTACAATAAGTTTAGGTTTTTATATTTTATCTCACTTAACATTTATTTAATTTTTTAAGTAACATAAAAAAATGATGTTTTTTTTTCTAATTCTAATTCTAATTTATTTATAATATCCAGTTTATCTGTAATTACCCTGGCACTTTTGATCAATTGAATGCATTCTTGCTGAATAGAAGTATTAATATCTTTCAAAATAAATAATCGTACAGATGGCAAACTTTTGAATCTTACTGCACATAAAAAAAATGCGTAGGGCAACAAAGAAATTAGTGTAAATGTGTGACTTTGTGACCCAAATTAGACCTGATGATCATAAACTGGCAAAACTCATTCACCTTGAACATTTGGTAGAGTTGTTTGGCTTGTTCAGTGTTTCCGCTCTGCTTGGCCTTTAAGGCTGCCAGCTTATACTCTCTCTGTCTGCTTAATATGCTCGCTTTGAGCTCTGAAACACACACAAACACACATGACAATGTGTACGGCAACAGCTTCACAGTGACAGTTAATGAGAAGGTCAGAGCGCGAGTGTGTGTGTGTGTGTGTGTGTACCTGAGTGCTGTGTGTGTGTGTGTACCTGAGTGCTGTGTGTTGGGCTGGCCGGGCGTGAGGGGTGATATGGCTGGTGTATCGGGTGTTACGGCCGTCGGCTGTAGCAGCTGAGGCTTGGACGGAGCGACTGGCTTGACATTAGCCGTCTGCGGTGGCGTGTTTGCTGGAGCAGGTTTTTCTTGCTCTGTGATTGGCTCGGCCTGCGAAGCAGCAGAGGGTTTTCCACCGGTGGCCACAGCAGGAGGAATCTCATCTTCATTGATGGGCTTCCCCTTTTTAACTGACATCAGCATAGACTGTAGAGTCTAAAAACAGGAAATGTGTTACTAACCGCTCAGAAATCCTCAGACAAATATACTATATAAAATACAGTATAAATTATTTATTTTACAGATTTTTAAAATCAAGTTTCATTTTTTTTTTCTTCAAATTGATACGTTTTCAAATTATTATTTTGGTAAGTATTATGTAAATTAAATTGCAGTAATTGTTATATATCACCTTTACGTTGGCCACCCTGCTCTCTAAGACAGAGGTCTTCAGCCCTGCTCCTGCAAAGTTTATTTCCACCCTGCTTCAGCACACCTGCCGGTGTATTTTCACGCAGTCTTGAGGAGCTTGATTAGCTGCTTCTGGTGTGTTTGATTAGGGTTGCAGCTAAACTCTGCAGGACAGTGGCTCTCCAGGAACAGGGCTGAAGACCCCTGCTCTGAGACACTATCATCGGCCATCAAAAAGTCGATGTGGGTGGAGCTCTAGTCCCACCTTCAGTCCGCGGTCGTATCGCCGTGCTTTGCTGGTCTCGCCCGCGGCCTTGGCATTGGTAATGGCTGTTTGGTACATGTCCAAGCGCTCTTGCAGGCAAGCCTCCAGGCTGGCAGGTGCATTCTGGGATGCGGGCGCTGCATTGGAGCGTTGAGGAGGCACTGGTGACGGAGGAGGTTTCCTGACCACTTGCTCCTTATCGTCTTCCAGCACCTCACTCAACTCGGCCTGAAACATAGAAAACGACTTCGATCAAAACCTGCTCCTGAGAGAAAGATCGCATCTGATGTGCCACCTGTAGTGCTGTAAAGACAAGAAGGGTTTTGTCCTACCAAGAGATCAGCGTCGTTCTCCAAATCACCATCATCGTCTACGTCCTCGTCCAGGTCTTTCATACAAAACGCTGCCATCCGCTCAATGTCCTCCATTGGCACCGGAGCTACATGATGCAAAAAAGACAGAAAGATGGCAAGGGATCAAGGTTTGGCTTGCTGTTGGTAGACGGCATAAATACATAACATCCTCACCTTTTCCTCCAGGTCTCTTGCCCGCTGGTCCGCTCCCCCCTCCTCCTCCCATCAATGCCAGAAGCTCCGCCTCCAGCTCCTCATCATTTCCTCCAGAGTCATCCAGCCCGCTGTCAGGAGCCAAATCCAGCAGCAGTCCCATCTGATTACATGTGAGGATGGAGATATTATTTTAGTTTTTTATCAATATTTTGAATTACATTATCTTTTCATTTCAGATAAAGTTTTAGTCATTTTGTTGTGTGCCATTCTTTGTCTATACATGTAAATATGCCTAAATATTTATAGCTTGTTTGAACATTACATATGAACTGTTGCAAATTCAAAAGCATTTTACGCACCTACATTCACTTAATATGTCTATACATGTTTTAATAATTTTCCTTTCAATTTTTATTTTATTACTTTATTATGGTACTTCAGGTTAAAGTAAAGGACAGTTAGAAATGTGGCCTTTGCAACTAGCATGAATAAAAAATACTTTTTTTTACATTTTATTAGTGTCATTTTTTAATAGGTTTAATAGGTTTTTCATTTCATACTGACTTCAAAGATGACATTTTAAAGCAGCACTATGTAACTTTTTCTGTGTTCAAAATTTGCAAAATGTATATAATGAGCGAGTACATCATGAATTCATCTTCCAAACCGCGTTTTTGTCTTATTCCGTATCACTACGGTACACTTATAATAAGTACTTATATTTGGACTATTGTAGCCTGGTCGGGTCGTCACCGCTGCGGAGTAACACATACCTGCGTGAATCGCCATAGACATAAACTTAGAGAAGTAGCTCCGGTTGGAATGTTCTTCCGCGGGATGTGTGCAGTTCTGTTTATTAACCGCTAGAGCGCCAAAAGTTACATAGTGCTGCTTTAATAATGCCTTTGCAACTAGCATGAATTTTAAAAAAAACTTTTTTTTACATTTTATTTCGGTTAATGTTTATTTTCTTTCAAGTGACAATTTTTAATAGGTTTTAGTTTTAATTTACAATAATAACCCTCAAAACTGATTTATAGATTCAAAAGCATTTTATGAACCTATATGTGTGGCACTCAAAAGTGAATGCAAATCATTAAGTGCACTAAATATTTGGAAATGTCCTTATTACATCACCACAAATCATTAAGTGCACTAAATATTTGGAAATGTCCTTATTACATCACCACAAATCATTAAACATTATAAAGAAAAAAAAAAATGCAAAGATGAATAGTTCACAATATGATCTATAACATGCATTTAGAAAATAAATAGGGTGATTTCCCCCCCCATTTCATGCTGACTTCATCATATGATTCTGGACACAGTCCTGACTCTCATCTGGTTAATTACCTGTTTGGCCCTGGCGGCCCCCTGGCCCTTCTGCGGAGGGTTCCGGCTTCGACTCATTTTCGCCGCAGGTCCTTCAAACCTGGAGTGAGAAAAATAATGATTCATTAATAATACTACAAAACAGCCACTGCACCAGCCTTTCAGTGACACCACAACCAACCACACCAGACAGTGAGTGGAGTCATATCGTCTAAATCATTACGTGAATAATGACGTCTGTATTTGCATAATCAATGCACAGACATAATCAACGGCCAAATGTGCACATTTAATAGTTTCATGTTTCTCCCAGAGCTCCATCACCTTACATTAACTGTCTAAGCTCAATAGGAAACAGCATTTAACCTGCTAGTGTTTACAGGTTAATCCAAAGCACATCTTTGGCTGATTTTGCACCAGAACTGTTAGAGGCAAAGCGCAACGAAGCCACAAAATAAATATCGGATCATTCACAATATAAATCATAACGTAAACAACTAATTCAGTCAAAGTCTCTGCTAGCGAGGAGGCTAATTCTCACATCAGACTCTATTTACTAATCATTTGAACGCGATACCTTGATCATATGTTCCTCCGAGGGCGGGTTACGTGGTAAATATCTGTTCCGCTGAGAAGAACAAGCTGCCTGTCATGAAGTTTTTGCACCAGAGTGTCATAAACACAGAGATAAACACAAATCTGCATTGCCGTCAATGTAGCTCCAGCACTTCCTGCTTTTCGCCAGGTTTCCCATAGCAACGACAGAGGCTCGCGCTTTACGGCACGCGGGAACGACGCCCCACAGCCCAGGATCTGTTAGTTCAACCGCCAGCGTGTCGATGTATTCAGATTTTAAATCATATTTTACACTTTATGAGGGGTTGTCTTATTATAGTTTGTTTTCTCTGAGAAAATGTGCAGAAATAGCAAACTAAATATGACATCACGAATAGCGTCACGAATCTTTCGCGCTTATTTGACTTGTCTGTTAAATTAATTATGTGCTATTTACAACGGTTTTAAACGGTTTATTTGATATGTTAAAGTTATTTATAACTGGTTATAAGAATTTATTTTACAAAACTGGGTTAGAGGAAAAATTTACGAATACATTTTAACGAACCATCTACAGTATGCACAATTAAAAGAGTCAAGTGTGTAATTAACATGTTTGAACTTTTATTCATTTAGTTGAATCTGGACTAAAACAAGACAATGGCCAAAAGAAAATCGAAGACGACAGGTACCTTGGACCCATGTAAACATAATTACCAGTCATTCATACTACCAGCTTGATTAGAGCTATATTACATATTTAATTTGTCAGTAAACATGCTGATGCAGTTAAATGTCTTTTAGCAGAGTTCAAACCCCCTAAGAGGACGCAGCCCAGAGCAAAACGACAGAAAAGCACTGAAGCAACAAACCAGTCTGAAGATGAAAATCAGGTGATTTCTCTCTCGATTACATGCTATGACATAACATTTGGAAGGAATTACAATATGCTTTGATGTCACTGTGCGGTTATATTTGTGTTTTCGTTTGTTGGTTCACTTAACTCTTTACCTTAATGTCCAGACTCTGACACCGGAGTCAGAAAACAACAATTCCCACAATGCATTGTGCTCAGACAAGCTGGATGAACATCAGCCTGGACAGAGCACATTACAAGACACTCAGACAACAGAATTCCCAGTAGATCCGTGTTGTTCCTTGGAAGAGAAAACAAGCCATTATGATAATAATGAGTTTGGAAATGGCACAAATCCACCTGAGGTCTCTCATGAGATTGAACAAACTGCAGCGGTCCCACTACAAACCCCAGAACTCGACAAAAGCGACAAGCACACTCTCTCTAGACCTTTGAATACAGAAGCTATTAATGTAGATCAGCCCAATAGAGAGCTAGATGATGAAGAGCGTGAAATCACTAGAAATTCAAATCATCAATCTCAGAAGGTCCCAGATGACTGCGACTCTGAATTACCATCCGATGAGCATCAAACCGAGAGAGAATTGTCACATGAGGGCAATACAGCCACTGAACCCAAGATGGATGAACAATTAGGGTCTTCAGACATCGTAGCGGAGACCTCATATGACCAGATTCAGATGCCTGAAGATGCAGGTTCAGCAGATCCTCTAGTAAAGAGGAAAATAAGAAAGAGGATGGGAATGTGCAGGCTTGGAGAAAGGAAGAAGATGCTCAAGGGACAGCCGACTAGAGGGAATGTGTTTGAAGGAAGCCAGGAGAACGAGGCGGGGGAAATCACTAATGAAGGGCCGGTCATGACGAGTGACGGTTTGAAAAAGGATATCTCGATTTCTGTTGAAGAAGAGGTCACTGAGTCAGAGGTTTCAGTGCCCTCCTTCTCAACCTCCTGCCCAATGGAGGATACACCCGTACAAGAGCAACAGGAGCAGCCTGGGAATGAAGTTCAGATACTGGTCAAATGCATGTCAAGGGAGCCTGTTACTCATGAAACTGATAATGCAATCCCATCCCATGCTGATGCTGATGATCTAAACCCTCTCGAGCAAAATGAAACTGAATGCATGGAGCAAAATGCTACTGAAAGCAACATTAGAGAAGATAGCAATGTGGTCACAACTGAGATTGGTACTGAAGTACCTGTCGATTTTGCTGAAGTTTGCAAGGACTCAACTGATGTTTCAGCTCAAGAAGAGGTTGTGATAGCCGGTTCACTTGAAGTTCCCAAAGAGGCCAATGAAGGCTCTGCATCCGCTTCTGAGGTTGCTAACCAGTTTGGAGAAGAACTCGTAGCGGGAGGCGACGAGACCGAGCAGTGCAGTCCGTGTGAATGTGACATGAACGCCTCTACTAGTGACCACACCAGTGAACAGTGTGTGGAGCTCATGGACATCGCAGCCGATGAGACCATCAGTGCACCTCCTGTAATCCATGAGACAGAAGATAAGTGTGAGTCTTCAGACTTTTCTCAGGTTGCCGCCACTGTCACAGCTGAGAACAAGGCAGACTGGGAGGACAACAGCGTGTCGAGTTTGTCCATACCTGCAGCTCTACCGGGTGGTGATAATGAAGATGGGCAAGTGAGTTATTCTTTTGAACGATGAACGTACATTTCAAGCAGGGGTGTCCAAACCTGCTCCTGGAGGGCCATTGTCCTGCAGAGTTTAGCTCCAGCCCTAATCAAACACACCTGAACCAGTTAATTAAGCTTTTCAGACTCAGAAGAAATGTGTTGGAGCTAAACTCTGAAGGACACTGTCCCTCCAGGATCAGGTATAGACACCCCTGACTTAAAAGAACCAGTCGTAATTCCAAAGCCATATTTCAAGAAGATATACTGCAGAATGTTCTCTGAAGTGCTTTTTAAGATCTAGAAAAGTCATAAAAGCACAATAAAAGTAGTCCATAGGACTTCTAAGATAGCTTTGGGTGAGAAAAGGGCCAGAATATAAAGTGTTAGTTGACACAGAAATCAGTGTTGGTTGCCATCAAACCTGTGTCATTGGTGTGTAATATTCCTTTGAAATACCAAAACCACTACTTGGTGTTTTTTTTTATTGGACTTTAGTTTTAAATTTACAGTGTAGGTTTTGGTATCCAAAACTCTCACATGTCCTTTAAAGTCAGCATTAAATTACTAAAACTGAGTTGTATCCTCAGTCGTTTACAGAGCATGTAAGTTTACTGAGAGATGCTCATGAGCCTCATCGGAGTCCTGCCGCTGAACCGGATCCCTCCAGCCCTTTATCCATGCACTCGGTGACAGATTCCCAGCTCAACAACATCCCTCTGAGGTGAGACAAATGTGAAAGCCATTGACTTTGAATGTTACTGGAGGTCTGTTTAGGTTTCTAGAAGTTGGTTAAATTTCAGACTTTACTGTCCACAACATTAATGCACAGCGCAAGGTGTTTTTGTCCATTTTCATGGTTTATATTTTGCTCAGTTTGGAGGATCTCCCCATCTCAGAAGCCTCCTGTGATCTGGAAGATGCCACAGAGCTTGTATGTGGCCTAATCAGAGATATTGCCTCTCTGAAGTAAGTCAGGATTTGTTTTGAGCACTTAAACACAATTCTGATTTTGTGGTTTACACTATTAAGTTTATTATTAAATAACACGGTAAAGAACAGTTTTGACCATAAACCGTAATTTCAATGTTTTCTTGCAGTCAGTTATTGATGGACGCACGCAGGCAGATTGGATTTAGGCAACAAGGCAGAAAACCTCTGCTCCACACTCAGAAATATAGGCATAATACCAACAGATTCTGAACGTATTTTACTGCATGATATAATGGACAGAAAAAAAAAAGACAAAAAAGCACTGAATAATTTGCACTGATGAGTTCAGATAGCAGGCACTGGTTTACAACTGTTCAGTTACACTTGTTCGAGCAAAGGCACAACATGCATAGAGTTGCTGTTTTAGTAAGCCAAAGTTAACACTTTTCCTAGCAGGTTCAAGCAAAGTAGTAAACATTGTAATTCTGTCAATCACAGGGTGTGACCCCCAAGACTGAAGGGTTGTAACCGTAGCAACAGGTCGTCAAAGTTCCAGTCATAAATCAGTCCAAATTCCTGTTCAAAACACATTCTGCATAAATAAAATGAATCTTTCTGGTTGTTGCTGTGCGTGTTTGATTCTGTGAAATCATGTTTTGTAAAACTACACATCAAAAAAACAAAAATTGTCAAACTGAACCAATTTCAGCTGAAGTGCTGTGATATGAACACAGGTTTCCAAAAGTTCACTGAACACGTTTCTGTTGTTCATTTTCTTGCTTTTGTCACAAAGTAAACCATCATATTTTTAAACAAATGTACATGAACTTCCTGATGCCACGTGAACAAAACCTGATGATCATGTTCTCCAAAATGTAGTGAAAATAGAGAAATAAAAACAGAAGATTGAGGTAGTTATATATTAAAGCAAAATATAGGCAGCTTTAAAGAGAAACACACCTAAATAACATTAAAAGCACTTATATATTTCACCCACAGAGTATCACAAAATAGTAAAAATGTAATTTTTTTTTTTTAGTTAAATTAAACAAGAAAGAGCTAGTTCACACGTGGTTGCACCTGTAGCGAGCCTATTGGCTTGTGTACAAGTTTGTTCAAAGACAAAACAAAAAGAGTGAAAAAACACCACCACTGCACACAAGAGGAAGACATAAAAAAAAACGTGCAAATCGAACACAAAAGCACACATGCATGCAAACTCACACAAGCCATTATGGATTGAACAATTAAAGTTGAATATTAAAACCACTCTAAAAATGTCCTTCTCGTATACCGTGGCCAGATCTTTTACGGGTCAGAAACGTCCGGTTCACCATGTTGTTTTGGCGTACACGGAGCTGTAGGTTTTGTCCACGAGCGGGCAGAATCTCTTGGTGTGCGCTTTGGCCCCGGTGGCTCCGCACAGGGGACACACGTACTGGCTCAAGTACGGGCACATCACGGCTCCGGCGCGGTCTTTTAAGTAGTGTGAGGTGAACACGGCTTCGGTCTCTCCGTTGTGTTTGCAGAAGCTGCAGAACTTCTTCTCGGATGGGCTGCTGCGGGTGCTTTTGCCGCGTTCCGGGTCTCTTTTCTCCGTCGTCAGGGTCCCGTGCGCTCGCGTCGGGCCGCTTGGAGACTCCAGGAGCACGGGGGCGGCGGCGGTGTCATCGGCCGCGTCAGGCTGCTCTGCTGGCCGTTGCATGCCTCTGATCATGTCCGCCAGACCCATGTAATCCTTCCAGGGCTGAAAGTCCTGATTTCTAGACTCCATAGATCCATGAGCCGACAAGAAGTAGCGGAGAAGAGAAAATGCCATGGCATTCGCCGAGTGCGACAGAAACGTGAAGCACGCGCTGAGCACGCGTGGGTTTTAAAGGGCGGACGTCACGGCAGGAGACCAATTAGGACACGAAGAGTTTGCCAAGTGTCCTCTGAAACCAAAACGATTGGTAGAGAAGATTGAAATAAAGCAAGAATACGTTTAAACTGTGGACTGGAGTTGCTAGTGTAACACCATATGGGGTAAGTTGTCACTATGAGAGCCCGCTGTTTATTGACACTGATTGGAGAAGACCGCTTTTTTGAAATATTGTAGGAAGTTAACAGTAGAACCTGTTAAACTGTATGTAAAATTGCAATAATAACAATATGGAGCAACTTGCTAAGTGTTTTATGAAAAATACTTCTAAGAACTCAGTTCAACCTTTCATTACGATCCTTATATTCTCATCTAATAGCATAAATATTATAGTGGAATTAATGTTCTTATTTTAAAGTATAAGTTCAATCAAATATGAACATTTGCTGCAAATGTAGTCACCCTCAGGCCATCCAAGGTGTAGATGGGTTTGTATCTTCATGAAAACAGATTTGAGAGAAATGTAGCATTACATCACTTGTTCACCAATCCTCTGCGGTGAATGGGTGCCATTCACTGGATGAAGTGTTATTATGAATTATGGACTCATATATTTTGGCCAGAAGTGATGTTTTAAAGGGGTCATATGATGCGATTTCAAGTTTTCCTTTCTCTTTGGAGTGTTACAAGCTGATTGTGCATAGATAAGATCCCTAAAGTTGCAAAGACTAAAGTCTCAAAACCAAAGAGATATTCTTTATCAAAGTTAAGACTCTGCCACGCCCCCCTAAAACGGCTCGTTCTAACACGCCCCCACATATCTACCTCACTATGTGGAAATATTAGCATAATGCCGCCCAAATGTGCACGCAAAGAAAGAAGGCGTGGTTTCAGTAACCGCAGTTAGTGTTAAAGCAGCCATGTCAGGGAGACGCTGTGTGTTTCAGTGCGAAAGCAAAAGCACTTTATTTGGCCTACCAGAAGTAGATGCATTTAGGAATCTTTAAAGGGGTCATATGATGCAATTTCAAGTTTTCCTTTCTCTTTGGAGTGTTACAAGCTCTTGGTGCATAAAGAAGATCTGTAAAGTTGCAAAGACTAAAGTCTCAAAACCAAAGAGATATTCTTGATCAAAGTTAAGACTCTGCCACGCCCCCCTAAAACAGCTCGTTCTAACACGCCCCCACATATCTACCACACTAT